TATTATTTTAAGCCTGAACATCATTTTGTTTTTCTTCACTGAAGATAATATGCCCAAAGGGATTTCACAGTACTGAAAGACACAACTGCATATTTTGGGGTGCAAGAAGGGATATTGATGTTCCATACGTCGTTATTCAGGTGTACAGAGCAGGCGACAGCTTTAAGTTATTCAATGCTAAACGCCCAGGCATGTTTTTACATCAGCATCTTAAGTTATCATCAAATAGTCGTATGAGATATACTGAAAAGAGAAGCAGTTTTCCTTGCAATAGGTTCCCTCAAACATATTATATAACAACATTTTTAACTGGGATTTTTGCATCGAAGCTGCAGAATTCCAGGATGCATTTTTAATGATCGCTCAGCACAGTTTGCTGTAAACAAAATCACACATCTGATCATGCACTGTCTCGCTCTGCTCCCACTCTGCACCGTCGCATTTATCATGTTTCCTTACCTTTATTTGCCGAGCCGTTCATTCTCCCCCTGCTCCGCTTGCGGCAGACCGGCAGGAAGCCCAGCTGAGCTCCCAGACGCCGACTTGTGATTTGTCATTCGCCGGCAGTCGCAGGTCACCGGGGCTGCGGCCGGCCGGCAGACGGGGCGCCGAGGTGGGATGCGTGCATGCAGCTGCCCACGGGACCAGGATATATTCGGGATTATCCCGAGTCAGGAGAGGATGAGGATGAGGATGCAGGCAGACAGAACACGTTTCCCAAAATGTGGCATGGAGCAGGATCTGGAGTCGACAGAGCCGACGGATTCTGCTAGCGATTTTTTTCCTGTTTAGACAACGTTAAATCCTTTGGACAAATTCTGGGGGGGGGGAGCACGTGAGGCAGCATGCAGAAGGTGTGCGGATCAGCCACTAAAACAGCACGCACCGGATTAGAAATTGAGACAAATTTGGCTTTGCTTTTTTGCTGCCCTTTGGGGCCTGAGCGGCGCTTGCTGTAACCCAGATCCTCACCGGCACGAAACAACCAGTGTAATCCCAACGGTAATTGGGTAAACGCAGCAGAAACTGTAGCAGAGCCGAAGCATCACCCTGGACACCCACGACCGCTACAGCCAACTCACGCTGTAGCCATGGTGGGCGCTTGTCCCACCGTCTTTATTGCAACGTCAGGACGGATGCCACCAGAGTACGAACGATCGGGGCCGTCCCCTCCCAGCAGGGCACAACCACACAAACGCCATCAGTCGTTCCGGCCATCTTTCCTAGGCATCCCTTATCCCCACGGCGTCCGAGCAGCCCATCCGCTAAACAACTCAGGGGGCGAAGCAGAGAAGCGCGATGTCCACCCGACACGATCGGGACCGAGTAGCTCGAGGAGCTGGTCTCCAGGGGCCACAGGCTTTAAGGGGCAAGACTAAAACAACTTTACTGCAAATAATCAGGGCGGAACGTGGAAAGCAAATAAAGACTAACGCAGTGCTACGCAAGCGGCTCTGTATTGCAATGGCGCACGCACGTTCAACACAAAGAGAGGAATTTTAATGCCGTGAGCGTTCAGGTTCAGACGTTGAGAGCCGCTCTGCGGGCGACCCGCTTTCCGCAGGGGTCCCACGGGGAGCTGCAAAGAAGCTGGGTGCTGCTTGCAGCTCCCGGGGCGCAAGCAGGAGCCCGCGGGCGGCGGGGCGGAGAGCCCTTCTTTCACTCGCTGACCGTAAATACGAAGCGGCTGCTCTGAATCCT